TTGGATAAGGCTTTAAGGCTAGTTGAAGTTGGGAGAAGTTGGGCTAGTTGGGCTAGTCGGGAGAAGTTGGGCTAGTTGGGCTAGTTGGGAGAAGTTGGGCTAGTTGGGCTAGTTGGGAGAAGTTGGGCTAGTTGGGCTAGTCGGGAGAAGTTGGGCTAGTTGGGCTAGTTGGGAGAAGTTGGGCTAGTTGGGCTAGTTGGGAGAAGTTGGGCTAGTTGGGCTAGTTGGGAGAAGTTGGGCTAGTTGGGCTAGTTGGGAGAAGTTGGGCTAGTTGGGCTAGTTGGGAGAAGTTGGGCTAGTTGGGCTAGTTGGGAGAAGTTGGGCTAGTTGGGCTAGTTGGGAGAAGTTGGGCTAGTTGGGCTAGTTGGGAGAAGTTGGGCTAGTTGGGCTAGTCGGGAGAAGTTGGGCTAGTTGGGCTAGTTGGGAGAAGGCTAGTTGACAAAAAAAGTTGCTAAAAAGGTTTTCGTTGTCAAAAAGTTGCCAAGAAGGTTTTCAAAAAAGTTGCCAAAAGTCAAAAAGTCAAAAAGGTGAGAAAAGTTTCAAAGAAAGCGTTCCGATTGAATTGAAATTGTTGTTTTTACACGTTTTCCCCTCGCCTTTTCCATTTCTGACTCACTCTCCAACTATAAAATAGTCCGAAAATGAACTTTGATGCGAAAAAGGTTTCACAAAAAGGTTTCACAAAAAGGTTTCACAAAAATTTTCTCAAAAATTCCCCTTTCCCCCCGCCCGTTCAATCTTTTTTTAGCTCCATTCATTTATTTGCTTATCTTTTTTTTTTAAAGAGCTAACCCTTCCGGAAAACTCAGAAAGCTAGGTCCTCTGCCAGCCAAAAGAAACAAAAAATAGCTTCTTATTTGTTTTTGAACTTTTCTTGGCCTCGAAACTCTTTTGGAACCGATTTTTGCGATTCGAGTCGATTTTTGACCCTTTTTAAACTCTTTAATGGTCGGAAATAGCTAAAATGATCTACTAATTGAGTTTTAGAACTGATCATGATTTTACAGCTGATCTGATCAGCCCAATCAATTCAATGAGCTCCAGATCTTCGGCTAATCGATTTATAATTCCTTTTTGAGGCTTTAAGTGATTTTAATCAACTCCAAAATCATTCTTTGATCTGAACATTTGTATTTTCTGAAGCTAAAAGCGATTTCAAACTGTTTTCTTTCCCTTTCTGTCATTGCCTTTTCTGTTTTCATTCAATTTTCATTGCCTACTTCCATCTGCACTTGCAGAAAAGACACCGAACTTTCGATCTAGTTGCTTTCCTCGCGCGCAAACCACTCGATGACTATGTCTTATTTTTTGCAGAAATCCGCTTTCAAACATTGCTCTTTCACAAGGGTGACTTCCAGTTTCCAAATGTTTTTCTGGTTTTTTTTTTTGCAAAGAGTGGATAATGACTCGACCGTAGTCTTAGGATTTGAAATTGGAGATTGGTTTTCCTTTGATCAGCATTTATAATGTTGATTAAAGATCATATTTATAATTTACAACATTTGTTTGTTTCAAGTTCCTTTTTGTCTTGGCTCGCTTATAGCCGGGTTTGATGGACCCCGGGCAACTTGCAGTTTGGTGCAGTGGTAGCGCTCTGGGTCGATAAACCGATGGTTCGACCGAAGGGTCGAGGGTTCGGGTCCGGGCTCGGTGAAACTTTTGTCTTAGGCCGAAATAGCCGTTATAGCGGTTATAGCCGTTTTCCGTGAAGCCCGTAGAGGTTGCAGGTTAGCGCAGTGGTAGAGCTCTTGGTTGATAGATCGATGGTTTGAAAGAAGGGTCGATGGTTCGATTTCGAGCTGGGCGAAACTTTTGTTTGTTTTTTCTTTGCGGACACTTATAACCGTTTTTGACCTCCATTCAAACAGCTTACAGTTTGGCGGAATGGTAACCCTCTTGACTGTGAAGTTAAGGGTCGATGGTTCGAGTCCGGGTTGGGCAGAAACTTTTGTTTTTAACTCAAAATTTTGCTTTCATTTTTTCTATCTATATACTGTCTATATATTTCTTTCTATCTATATACAGTAGCGGACAAAGACTTAGCATAATTTAGTTTTTTTTTATAATAAAACTCGCTGTTTGTGCAATATTTACCTAAAACTTCGAAATATAATAATAAAACTTAATGTTTTAACAAAAACAATTGGTATTTAGCCCAATAGACTTTCAGAAAAATTTTTTGAAGATTTTTATACAAAACTGGTGCGACAAAGACTTAGCATATTTTTAATAACATATTAACTAAAGCTGGTAACAAATGTTTTTGAAATCAAAACAACAAAATTCGTTTTTAACAATTAATACTTTGTAGGAAAACCATTCGAGGCTATGACAGCATCACATCTGCGAGGCATGGACTTGATAAGTTCATCGATCGTCTTTTTTTGGAATCTCCGACCACTTCTTGGCTAAGAGATCAAATTTATCCTGAGCATTTTGAGTTCTAATCCCTTTGCAGATTCTTCCCAGCGTTTCCCACAAACGCTCAATAAGATTCAGGTCGGGGCTTTGGCTTGGCCACTCCATAACGGCAAAGTTTTGTTGCGACAGCCAGTTTTGAACGAGTCGAGCCTTGTGTTTTGGGTCGTTATCATGCTGAAAAGTGAAATTTGGAGGCATAGTTTGAACTGCATTTGGAAGCATATGGTTTGTCAAAATGTCCAAGTAAACTCGTTGATCCATAATCCCAGTGATTCGCTTGAGTGGTAGAGTTCCATAAGAAGAAAAGCCACCCCATACGAGAACGTTTCCGCCGCCATGTTTGACTGTAGGGAGAATGTAGTTTTTATTGTATCTTTGGTTGACTGGACGTCGAATATACTGAATTCCATCAGAACCAAGTAGGGAAAACTTGCTTTCAGCAGTGAACAAGCAGTCTTTCCACTGCTGAAGAGTCCACCCTTGATGCTCCTTAGCAAACTTCACTCGGGCTTTCCGATTTTTTGCTGAAATCAATGGTTTCTTGGCAGGGCGTCTCCCGAATAGTCCTTTAGCGTTTAGACGACGTTGCACCGTTCGCGGAGTGATCTTATCTTTCAAAGAAGTTGGTAAATCTTTGTAGATCTCAGTTGCAGGCTTCTGAGGTTTGCTTTTTGATAAGGTTTGAATCCTGTTATCATCTCGAGTAGTTGTTTTCCGTGAAAAACCAACATTCTTTTTTTGCAATTGTGCTTCATTTTGTCTTGAAAAGCTTCAAAATTCTCGAAACAGTCGACTGGTGCACCCTCAGAATGGTAGCAATTCGATCCTGTCTCTCACCGGCTTGATGAAGAGCCACAATCGTATCCCGTATAGCAGGCTGGAGTTGTTTCTTGCGACCCATTGGCTGAAATTAATAAAATAATAAATTTCAATCAAATTATAGATCAAATTAGAAAAAAAACACAGAAAAATAATCAAAATTACTGGGAAATGCAAAATTATGCTAAGTCTTTGTCGCACCAGTTTTGTATAAAAATCTTCAAAAATTTTTTCTGAAAGTCTATTTGGCTAAATACCAATTGTTTTTGTTAAAACATTAAGTTTTATTATTATATTTCGAAGTTTTAGGTAAATATTGCACAAACAGCGAGTTTTATTATAAAAAAAACTAAATTATGCTAAGTCTTTGTCCGCTACTGTATTTCTATATATTGTTCATATTGTTTCATTGTTTCATTATTTGCGAGCTATCCAAATCTCAGTGAACTCTAATGGATTGGCTGAATTAACTTTGGATTTGTTGAAATGTGTCTAATTCCCCTCTCCCGTGACTTTCTCGAAAATCCTACAATCCTTTCTTTTTCTCGCGTCTATCCCGAAATCTTGTTAATCTTCGGAAAAATAGGAATTTAGATTAGAATTTTTTTGTGTCAACACATTCGATTAGCCAAAGAGTACAACTTTTAAACTCAAAATAGCGGTACTTTTCGTCTAAAATTGTGGGAAATCCCGTGATTGTACCAGCTGAAAGAAAAGAAAAAAAACAAAAAACCCGACAAAACCTACTATTTTCAATATTTTTTCAATAAAAAAAAAAAGCAAACCTCTAGTTCTCTAGATCTCTAGAAAAGTGGTGAACTTTTCTGAAAATCTCTCCTTTTTTCCCATAAACTACAGCTGAAGACGTAGAAAATTCTGAGAATTGCTGTTCGAAAGAGTTTAGTTTTTTGATTTTGATTTCATTGTATTTTCTGAGAGAGTTTAGCTTAGAGAGAGAGCTTAGAGAAGGATTTCAAACGTTTCTATGACTACTGTAGCTTTGGCTCCACCCATTTCCCCCGAGAAAGAGAACGAGAAAGAGAATGAGCAGAGAAAGTACAGCATTTAAACCCCCGACCGATTGGGGAAAATGTTCATGGTTGGGATTTTCGGGGGAAATTCCCCGCAAAACTACATTCTAGCCAGCTACGTCAATTGACTACATGTATTTTGAAAATTTTTGACTTTTCTTTAGCAAATTTGCTTCGATGAGCTCTAAAACTACTCGAGTTTTGATCAGTGTTTTCGAAAAATAATCTATAGTCTTTGAGATTTTCCTCCAAACTCTAACCATAAGATTTTTGACTTTTGAGTTTTTGACTTTCCCATTTTTCTATGTATTCTTTTGATGTTGTGACTTCCAGAACGTACTTTTAAGCAATAGAACTAGAATTTGGTTATCTTGAAAAGATTAAATACTGTATTGACAAGGATTTTCAAGGATGAGATGGCCAAAAGTGAAGGTAGGAGTGCGCTTTGAATATATTTTGGTGTTGTGAGTTCCAGAACGTACTTTTAAGCAATAAAGCAAGAATTTGGTCATCCCTTTCTTTGAAAATCCTTGCCAATACGGTATTTCATCTTTTTCTCAACAAATCTCTCTCAAGTTTGCGCTTTTCCTTTGTCTGCGCACTCGAAAGCGGCTTTTTTTCGGCTTTGTCTCAAATTTTTCCCCACTCAACTTGGGATACTGTAAATTCTTGAGCTTTTCTTTTATTTTTTGTCTCTTTTGTCTCTTTAGTAAACTAAAAAATTGCAGAATGATCAAAAATTATGTGATTGCCGTGGACATCGGCACGACGACAATCCGCGCGTGTCTTTACGATGATCGGTGTCAATTGGTGACCGTCTCACAGGATACGGTAAGTTGAAAAGATTGAAAACAACGATTGTAATTGATCTGGACTTTACTTTCATAGACTTACCGTATCCCATTTGATGACGTATCCTTCTTCTCAAGGATACGGTAGGTTTTTTGATAGCCTTTTCATGTTGTGACTTCCAGAACGTACTTTTAAGCAATAAAACTAGAATTTGGTTTTCTTGAAAAGATGAAATACGGGGATTGACAAGGATTTCAAAAATTTGATGACTAAAAATGAAGATAGAAGTGCATTTTGAATATATTTTGATGTTGTGACTTCCAGAAGGTACTTTTAAGCAATAAAACTAGAATTTGGTTATCTTGAAAAGATGAAATATCGTATTGACAAGGATTTTCAAGGATGAGATGACCAAAAGTGAAGATAGGGGTGCATTTTGAATAGCTTACTGTACCTTAGCCTTTCAGGATACGGTAAACGAGTGAAAAATGAAACTAGGAGCTTGACGTGACGAGTTTTCAGCTTTCATAGGATCTATGAAATGATCCAGCAAACTGTCAACCCTTGCAATAGCATAGCAGTAAAATACTGTAGCTTTCAAATAGCTCTTGCATTCAATTTTGTACTTTCGTACTTTCCCAGACTATCGACAGTACTTTCCCAGACTCCTAGTACAATAACAAGTCTAATTATCGACAATAACAAGTCTTCAAGTGCATTTTCAGATGGAGATCCTCCGCCTCGACCCCCGTACTCAGCAAGCGGTTCGTTCTCGTCCGAAAAACCCGTCAGCCGCCGATATTCTCCCCTCTCTTTTGCCACCGCTTCTCCCAAAGCTGAGACCCTCGAAAAAGTCCAAACCTCATGTAAGCCAGCATCGATAGAGAAATTCTATCCTTGTGTGTGCGGTGATTGGTCGTTGTGTGTCTCTTATTCGTTTCTTCAGTTCACTCACCCCCTTCAGCTTTTTCCTCTTTGTTGCTTGATTTTCTTTGGGTTACTGTAGCCTTATGGGACGGTGATGCAAAATAGGAAACAGAGTTTACGTGTCGTTTTCTATTTTTCATTAACTCTTATCTACTACAATAGCTACAGTAGGCCTGCTAGCCATAGTAGGAAATAGGCACAGTGATCAGGGTACTGGAGAAGCCAGAACTATTGTAGTTTACTGTGGGTTACTGTAGCTACTCTAGTAGATTACTGTACTGGAGACCCGGTTACTGTAGCTTGCTGGCTACTGTGGCTTCCAAGCCTACTGTGGCTTCCAAGCCTACTGTGGCTTCCAAGCCTACTGTGGCTTCCAAGCCTACTGTGGCTTCCAAACCTACTCTACCTTCCAAGCCTACTGTAGCTTCCAGGGCTATTGTACCTTCCAAGCCTACTGTAGCTTCCAAACCTACTGTACCTTCCAAGCCTACTGTACCTTGCAAGCTTACTGTAGTCTAGCTGTTCCAATAACTTTTTTCATGTCGATTCTTCAGTTGAACCAAGATGTCGGTGCTGGGGCAACTGACGAGATGTTGGTGGAAATCGACCCCGAGAGAATGTTCCAACAGTTCACCCAGGTCATCAAGAATGTTTGTGAGTTTTTGAAAGCTTACTGTACCTTCCAAGCTTACTGTAACTAGTAAAAACTCGATTCGAATTGACTTTTCAGTGGAAAAAGTCCCCGACGAGAAGAACATCCGACTCTCGATGGGGTTGTGCTGTTTGAGGAACTCGTTCATTCTGTGGGACAAGTGAGTTCATTTACGCAATTTACGCAATTCAAATGCAAATCGGTGACGGCTTCAGAATGTCGCTGAAGCCAGTCTCTCGATTCGTTGTTTGGAGTGACACGAGAGCTCGAAAGAGGTGCGCCGAATGGAATGCATCGTGGACGATCAAGGTAGACTTTAGCTGATCGTTTAATTGCCCAATTCTGGGCTGAGCTTGTCTGCTTCCCATTCTTGCTCTGATTGACTAAATTCATTCATTTACTCAATCCTGGCCTTATCCTGGTTCATTTACGCAATCTTTGAGAGCCGACGAGTCGAGTTCATTTTTTCTCGAGTTTCCTTGAGTTTCATCGGGTTCAATTGGTTTATTTACCAATCTGCGCTCAGCTAAATGCTCGTTTATCGGTTCATTTACCCAACTTGGCTTAAACTAGTTTCACTGATTCATTTTGCTCAACTCTGAGATTCTAGAATCGAATCCAAATAGCAAATCCGTTTCCCAACTCAGCCGGCGATTCATTTATCCAAATTCTTTCAGGGAATGAATATCGTCGGTGGTTTGCTTTACAAATTGACGCGTAAACCCCGGTACAAAGCCGCGCAAATCTTCAAATTCATTGGTGGACTCGTTTCGCATCGTTTAATGGTCACAATTGAAGAGGTAACTCAATTAGGCCACACTTCACCATCCAACCATCCAATTCCAGAGTGACAAGGCTCAAGAATTAGCCAGACTCAACCGGTTGGGCTTTGGCTGTATCGAGTCGTGGTTGTTGTGGAAATTAAGCGAAGGAAAAGTGCTTTTATCGGAGACAGGCAATACGTCATCAACAGGAATGTACGATCCATTCATTGTAAGTTTTAAAATCATATCCTGAATCTATCCTGATTCCCCAGGCTGACTATAACTTCATGATCTTGAAATTAATCGGCTTCCCGACGAAACTCCTCAATCCGTTGTGCGAATCAGCGAAAAGGGAGCCTTTTCTCAAAGTGGACACGAAATTCTTCGGACATCCGATTAATGTGCACTGTTTGGTGGGTTTACGGGAAATTTTGGAGAATATTTGGCTTATCTGGATGTCACAAGAGAAGATGAAAAAGTTAGAATCGTGGTTTTGAGCATTGGGAAGAACTTGGGCTCGAATCTGGCCAAACTCTGCCAATCTCCAATCCAGCACCTGGATTGGAGCAAGAATCCGATAAACCTTTTTTTTTCAGCTAGCCGATCAACAAGCTGCCCTTTACGGTGTCGGCGGGGTGCGCAAGGGTGACGTGAAGATCTCCCTTGGAACCGGCACCTTCGTCGACCTCAACACCGGCTCCACGCCGCATGCCTCGATGAGTGGTGAGTGAAAGTTGAAAACTGACTGAAAAAAAGGTTCTCAAAGCCTACAGTGACCTCCAGGAAAAACTTTGCAAGGGTTTTTAAGGCTATAGACAACTCCTTGGCCCATAAATTTACTCAAAGTCTAAATGCGATCCAATTCCCAGGTTTCTTTCAATGAAATCTTTCAAATTTGAACTAATTGTACTCCGTATTTACCGAAAACTCTCTACGCATCGTTTTTTTCGTTTTTCTTTGCCTAGAATTTCGTCAACACAGCAAAACCAGTCTTTAAAAAGAAGTGTAAAAATGGAATCAATTGATTAAAAGACAAATAAATCATGTGTTTTTTTTTTTCGAGGTAAACGGGATTCTTTGGAAGGTCTTTTTGAAAGGATTTGGATCTCATGAAGGTCAACTCAAATCAGAGACGAAACAGAGACTCTAGTTTGGGATGAAATGAAGAGGAAAAGTGAGAAAAGACACCAAGTATGACCGGGGCGGATCATCCAAGAAATGAATGAGATCTGTGGTGTCTGTTTGAGAACATGATTGGAAGGGTTGGAGATTGGAGATTGCAGGACAAGACTGTAGTTGGATCGGTGAATAGGAGATCAAGCGGTCGGTGAATTGAGCAGGTGAATTGAGCGGGGAATGACAGGAAAAAGTTCGCAAGAGTTACCCAAAGTCACCCAAAGTCATCACTTCATTTACCTAATTCTCAAGCAGGGCTGAGCAGAGCAAAAATCAAGAAAGTCAAGAGCTGAGAGTCAAGAAAATGGTTGATTTACCCAATTGGAAGAATTAGATGGTAAAACCAGTTAACAAGGTTCTTTTGATCGCTTGAATTTAGACGCATTTTCAAGGCTAACGCAAGCAATCTTGGCCTAACTTTCCCTGGTTCATTTACCCAACTTTTCCCGGTTCATTTACCCAACTTTCCCTGGTTCATTTACCCAACTTTCCCTGGTTCATTTACCCAACTCTCTACCGGTTCAGTTACCCAACTCTCTACGGGTTCATTTTCCCAACTTTCTCTGGTTCATTTACCCAACTCTCTACGGGTTCATTTTCCCAACTTTCTCTGGTTCATTTACCCAACTCTCTACCGGTTCATTTGCCCAACTTTCCCCGGTTCATTTACCCAACTTTCCAGGTTCATTTGCCCAACTCTCTACCGGTTCATTTACCCAACTTTTAAAGCTTTAAAGCAACCGATTCATTCAGGCTAGTTTTAAGCAAAAAAAACGAATGATTTCCGGTTCATTTACTCATGCATTCTGTTCAAACACAAAAACAAATTGACCTTTGCCCCAGCCTCTCCAATTCCCAAACACCCCAAATTTTCCCACTCTCATCCAACCGTTCCTTCAATCTCTTTCAATCACAATGCACAGATCTCCGCAAAAAAAAAGTCTCCATAAAGTCGGCGGGTTTCCCAAAGAAGAAAAAAGGACAGGAAAAGAGAACAGGAAAGAAGGAAAGCTTTCCAAAAATGGCTTGGGTGTGACCGATTTCCGGGCTTGCGCTGAATCGTCCATGACTTGATTGATGAACTCATATCGTCGATTCGGGGGATTTTTCTCAATCGCATGACTTTTCCTGGATCTCACAGCGGGATTTGCAGCAGCGATTGATAGATATTCACGTAGATATAGATTTATTCACCTTTGCGCAACTCTAGAGCCTACTCCTAGAGCTATTTTGGGAAACTCAAGAGTGCAGTTATTGAAAAAGACAGCAAGTACAGCAAAATAATTGGGTTTCAAAAAGCTATTCAATCCAAAAATATAGTTTAAAAGGCAAAAAAGCGGACAGAAAACTCAAAAGAGACGGAAAAAATGAAATTTTTCAAGAAAATCGTTGAAATTCTTTTAAAAGATAGAATATTTTGTCTAAATTTCCATTCCAGGCACGTATCCACTTGTCGGTTGGCGGTTGAACGGTAAAAACACCTATATTGCTGAGGGAAACGATCACGACACGGCGGTTTTGCTCGGCTGGGCACAGTGGGTTTTTGAAAGGAAATTTGCATATTGGGTTGTCCAGTTACTATTTTGTAAATTTCTCAAGATACCGAAATCAAGAAAAAGATTTATATGAGTATTATTCGAAAGCTGAAGATCTCCTCTACATTTTGATATAAAAAGTTTTTGAATTTGTTCAGCTTTTGGACACATTGACTGCACAGAAGAAGAGGTGGGCAAAAAAATGGAAGGGTGTCTTTGGATCAAGTTTTGGCTCCGCTCAAATTGAGTTAACCGTTTGATGTTTGGTCAATAGATATATCAATATAACTTTTTTTGAAATATAACAATTTCAGAGCAATTCTTTACTTTTCTTTTCTTTTCTGGGCGGTTATTTTACACCATAAAACTTGAGGAATAGCTAAGCTGGAATGGGTTTTTTTTTCGAAAACGACCTCGCACTTTGTGCAGTCAATTTCCCAAAAAGTTGCATGAATTCAAAAACTTTTTATATCAAAATGTAGAGGAGATCTTCAGCTTTCGAATGATATATAACACTCATATAAATCTGTTCGATATCCTGAGAAATTTACAAAATAGTAAAAACGCGCATTCATAACTGGACAACCCAATAGAATTAGCATAGAATTTGCATAGAATTTGCAACGAATTTTCAATAAATTTGCATAGAATTTTCAAAAAATTAACATAGAATTTAATATTTGACCTTTTTATTTGCAAATCTACGCTTAAAAACTCGTTCTTGAGCATAGGGAAGTGAAATTTCGGTGTTGGAGTTGAAGTTGAAGCTTTCTTCAGTCAAAACTTTGATATGTTTCCTTAAATTTAGGGCTAAATAGTCGAAAAAGACAATTTCCACTAAAATCCGTTAATTCCAGATCAGCTGGCCTCTTTGATGATGTGACGAAGACGTCAGCGATGGCTGAATCCACTCACAACCCTGGCGTCTACTTTGTCCCAGCTTTCGGAGGTGAGAGATTTAAAGGCAAAATTTGAGCCTAAATTTAACCCCAAATTAACAAGTGTACTCCAGGAGATGGGTTTTAAGAATTTAAAAGGAATAGGGGTTGGCGTTTGAGCGAGAAAAGTTTCCCAATACAATTCTGAGCATTCTGCGCCGCTTTGTTACCCGAAAGGTGATGGAATTTGAGCCCAAATTTAACTCTAAATTGACAAGTGCACTCCAGGAGATGGGCTTTATAAATTTTAAAGGAATAGGCCATAGCTTTTAAGCTAGAAAAGTTTCCCAATGCAATTCTGAGCATTTTGCTGATTTTGCAGCATTCTGTGCCGTTTTGATGGGATTTGAAGGCAAAATTTGAGCCTAAATTTAACTCCAAATTGACAAGTGCACTCCAAAAGATCGGTTTAAAGAGTTTAGAAGAAATAGGCATTAGCTTTTAAGCTAGAAAAGTTTCCCAATACAATTCTGAGCATTTTGTAGCATTCTGTGCCGTTTTGATGGGATTTGAGGCAAAATTTGAGCCCAATTTGCACTCCAGAAGAGATTTCTATAGAGAAATGCCCTCTAGAACACGATTTGTACACATTTCAAAGCGAAAACGTTTCTATTTTCGGACTCGAAAGCTTTCTGTCGAAGGCTGTGGAAGGCTTTCTGTGGAACTTTCTGTCGAAGGCTTTTTGTCCTCAAAAGCCAAAAATTTCTGCTTTTCTGTGTTCTTTTCGACCGGAAATTGCCTAGAAAATTCAAAATAAAACATTTTCTCGTTATTAGCAGATTTTAAGCGATCAACTATAGTTTTTCCCCCTTTTCCCGTTTGTTTTCCCGTTTTGGAGTGATCCAGTAGCAGTCCAGGTACAGAAATAATGATTTTTGCTTAAAATTTTTGCAAAGAAAACACCGAGTACACTTTTCTTTTCGGCTTTTTTTTTTTTGGCTTAATTGGGATTTTCTAATGGGAAAGTAGATTTGTTTCCTTTTTTTCTTTTCATTTTTCTTTCTTTTCCTTCTTTCCCCCTTTTTCTGACTTTTGAGTGCTTTTTGGGGAAAAGGAAAAACGTGATTTGTACATTTCGAGATTGCCAATCTTTTTTCTAGTTGGATTTGTACAAATTTCGAATAAAAAATAGAGAAAAACGAGAAAATTCGATGAAAAATGCGTAAACAAGGCGATTTTCGGGTTTTTGTTCGGGTTTTTGCGCTCTCACATCGAAAACAAAACGAATTCAACTCTGAGAAGGAAAACTAGACTCAAAACTTTTCGAAATTTTGCTTGGAAAGGGAAATTTGGTGATTCTGGATGTCACTTCATGTGGAAAAGACTGCAACTTTGGCTAAATTGGGGAAAATTTTTTAGATCAATTACCCCAACTCACAAGAAACAAGGTCCAATCTGTTAAGTAAGAAAAACTAGTTCCCAAAAAAGGTTCAGGACATTTAGAATACTTAGAGAAATCATTGAAAAACAATTTTCTATTCAAATCATTCATTTCCCTCATTTACAGGCCTCCAAACGCCGATCAATGACGACAACGCTTGTTGTGGTTTTCTCGGGCTGAGACCGAAAACCACGAAAGAGCAAATGGTAAAGATTGGCTTGGAAAATTCAAAAATGAAAACTAAATAACTACTTTACTTAGGGCTTATTGTAAGCTGGGCTTCAAAAGCCAAAGCTTCAAAAGCCAACGCTTCAAAAGCCAACGCTTCAAAAGCTTTGCCTTTTTATCACTCTTTAGCCAAATTATTTCAGAGAATAGTTGGAAATAGGGCAGATCAAAAACTCGTGCGCCGCCTGGGGGCTCGAACCCGCGACCTTTCACCTGCCGGGCAACGGTGCAACCATTACACTACGAGTGCACCTAACCTCCGTTTATTCTAGAGGGAGTTAACTCTAGGCAGATCAAAGCTTAGGCGGGGACTCGAACCCGCGGCCTTTCGCTTACCGGGCAACTGTGCTAACCACTACACCACGACAGACCTGGTCTGCCGTACTCTAGAAGGGTTAACTCTAGCGCAAATCAAAACTTGGTCGCCGCGGGGAATCGAACCCGCGACCTTTTGCTTACTAGTCAACTGTGCTAACCATTACACCACGAGGCACTACATCTCCATTGCTCTATAGGGAGTTAACTCTTCGTCTCCCGTACTCTAGAGGGGGCTAACTGAATCAAAAAGCCAAACCACAGTATTCCCTGAAAGAATTTGTTGAGCTTATTCTACGAAAAGATTTCTGCAAATGCCGCAAGCTTAATGCAATTTCATATATTCCCGAAAAAGCTTCTGAAGCTCTAAAGAGTGATCTCTAAAGATTATAGGGATTTCCCTGGCTTGTAGTGGATTAGTTAGTGACCCTGGAATGGTAAAAAAAGACCGGAAATGGATAAAATGTATGAAATTTTCTGAGAAATAAGCTAAAATTGTGATTTAAGACTGGAGAATGAAAGAAAAAGCAAAATTGCCGAAGTTTAAGCTCGTTTTTTCAAAGAGTTTTGAGAAACAAATTGATTTTTAGCTTAAAATTTTGAATTTTACCAAATAGTTGGATAAATTTCAAGCTAAAATCATGTTATTTCGCAAATTTCCAGGTCCGGGCTATCCTCGAAGCAATCGCTTTCCGCGTCTATCAGATTTGGTCGGCGATGAGCGAGGAATTCGGTTTCAAAGTGCCGCCAAGAGTCAGGTAAAACTTGGTAAAACTCAATTTCTAAACGATGGATGATTAAAAATAGCATTTAAAGTTAAATTCTTGTTCTCGATCGATCCAATGCTATCCAGATTAGAGATTTTGAAACAAAAAAAGGAAAAGATACTGGAAATCCGAAATTTAGCCTTTGATAGTTGTCTTTTTAAGGTAACTCTTTTTAAGGTATAAAAAATACACATTATTAACTCCTATTTTCAATTCCAGAATCTGCGGCGGAGTGGCGAATAACGATTTCGTTTGTCAATGTGTGTCTTCATTACTCAACCTTCCGATGGAAAGGGTAACCGAGGGAGGAACGGCCGCCAGTAAAGGAGTCGCCTTGATGACCGGCTTGATGCAAGGTGAGGAGGAATGAATGCTTTAAACGCGTTCCCTGAATCATTTCATTGTTTAGAATTTCAATCATTTAGTCTGAAATGTATAAAAGTGTGCTTAAAATGACTATTTTGAAGGCTATACATTAGAATAGAATTAGAATTAAACCATACATTAGAATAGGCAATTTCTATGGCTGGATATCAGACTGATGTCAGTCTGATGTCAGTCTGATGTCAGTCTGATATTCTAAACTGGATACCAGTCTGATACTAGATCAGGTTCCAGGTACCAGCTCCAATATGATACCAGATGTCAGGTCCAAGTTCATTTAAAAGCAAATCTAGGCCTAGGTCTAGATCTAGATCTAGATCTAGATCCAGACTCAGATTTAAGCTAAGGCTTATTCTTAGGCTTAGGCTCAGCCTCGTAAGTCTAGTCCAGGCCAGGTCCAGACCCCGCTAAACAACCTAATAATAAGCTATCAGCGTCCCACTCTATCTAGATCTAGATCCAGATCCAGATCCAGACTCAGATTTAGGCTTAGGCTTAAACTCAGCCTCGTAAGTCCAGTCCAGGCCAAGCCGCTGAACAACCTAATAATAAGCTATCAGCTCCCCAATCAACTTTCAAAACCTTATCACTCCCTTTCCAGGTCTCTGGACTGAGGACGAGATCGAGGCAAAGATCGGCGTCGAGAAAGTTTTCCAACCCGACCCGAAAATGCGGGAAACTCTGCTGGCAACGTTCCGCAAATGGAAACACGCCGTCGATCGGTGCTCTAATTTCTACGATTAAATGAAGAATTCGAAATTTTATGAAAGAAAAGTGAATCCTGGAACGCACGAAGGTATTTGGACTTGAAAAACTTTTAAAAAAGTTGTATTTTTTTTTTCATTAATCAAGCCGGTTCATTTACCCAATTTTGAGTCCACTGCGTTCCAGGATGGTCTTTACTGAATAGAACCTATTTCCAAGTGTTCATCGTATTGCGTAGACTCGTCATCTAAGCTTTATCCTTGCTTTTGGTCGATTTTCTGTGATTTTTTTGAGCATTCTATTTGTATCATTGTGTCACAACAAACGAGTGGGTCTTTTTTCGTGAGATTTTTCCATTTTTTTTTGTTTGCTCAACCCCTCCAACATTACCCGCTTTTTCTGATCTCATCGCTAATCTATTCATTTTTTTTTTGCGCAAATCTTTCAACTTTTAATAGTGTTTTCAGGCTTGTGCATGGTGTTTTTTGTGAAATAAAATTGATTAAATGGTTTATTATTATCAATATTATCAATATTATCAATATTATCAATATTATCAATTGGAGATCAAACTAACCGATTAGATTCAAGCTTTTTGCGTAAAAATCGAGCATACAGTGGTCCACAAATGTATTTTCCCATTGCCATCCAAAAGTTTCTTTCGTACGAAAATCTTGCAAAATAACGATATTCCCAAAAAGTGTAGGGTATTTTGTTTACCCATAATACTCTACTTTTCAAGATTATAAGATTTATCCGTATACATTGCAGAAAAATTAAAGTATAAAACAAAAACAATAAGTTACTTAACAAATAGCTCCACAAAAGTAATGTCCCATTGATGTTTCCCTTGATTATTCCTTTTATTTTCGCGTTCTATGAACATTAAATGTATTTTATTTTATTATTTAGATGGCTGGCAAGAAAAACCTTGACACTCCGAATCGCCAAGGCCCAGGAAAATGGGATGCGGGGAAAGGATATGGCCAACCTCATCAATTGCTCGATAAGGACGGTGCGCCGCATTCTTTCTCAATCAAAAGTCGACCGAAACCTTCATCGAGGCCTCAAGAGTGACCGACGACCAATCACAACTTATAAAGTAGAGTATTATCGGTAAGCAAAATACCCTACACTTTTTGGGAATATCGTTATTTTGCAAGATTTTCGTACGAAAGAAACTTTTGGATGGCAATGGGAAAATATTAGGTTGTCCAATAAGTAATGCGTGTTTTGACACGATTTTCAAAATATCACAAAATTAACAAAAGAGAACTCTATTAATCGATATATTCTCCACAACAATCAACAACATTTCTCCATCGTCTGAGCAAAGAGTGAAGTCCGTCATAATAGAATGAAGCTGGTTTCGATGAGAAGAAATTCCAGCCTTCCAGCGCGTTCCTCGTCCTCTAACGACTCGTTTCCGTCCGCAAATCGTTTAAACCAGCGCTGGCACTGGCTGATTGAAATTGAATCCTCTCCAAATGCGGCACAGATAGTTCGATGGCAATCCGCTGCAGTTTTACCTCGTTTGAAATCATACAGCATTGATGCGCGGACAACAAACTTTTTGTCTTTCATCTGCAAAACAACATATCTATTATAAAACAAAGGCAAATGAATAAAATAATATATAAAAATAAACACAAGATGCTGATGATTAAAAAGAGCATACATTTGCTCGAAGCGATTTCGCAATAGTTTCGAAATAAGTAACACGCATTACTTATTGGACAACCTAATACATTTGTGGACCACTGTATAACTCTGATAAATTTCGTCGGTTTGCATCACTTTTATAATATAATAAGAGTATAATAAGAGTTGAATTCACAAATATGCTTTGGCAACAAATTCTTTTGATAAAATCAGAAGTGATTTGAGTTTAGGATGAGGAAATAGGAGAATTTGTAATATGATAGGCAATGATGGAAATAGCGGAATGATAGGCAAAGCAGAGATCGTTAAGGAGTCTACACAAAAGTCAGAATTTAAAAGAGAAAAGATTATGGTACCGTACCGGACCTCAAAAACGATATTATGTGGTTAAAAAGTAACAGAAAGCAGCAACGAATGATTACTTCATTGAGACGGCATGTAGAAGCCAAAAATTCATTATATCCGAACCCCTCCTCACACACGTAGATGCAAATTGTCGTTGGGTCGATTCGGCGTCGGAAACACGAACTGTTTTGTCGAACGAATAAGGAGTGTAGTTTTCTCTGAGATCGTTTGCACGAGAAACGAGTGCTGAGTGATTTTCGCCTTCATCGACTCTTTGAAGTCCTTGCACCTGTGAAAGAAATTCACCGACCCGGGAATCCCTCGATTGCGTTACAACGTGAATCACAGCTTCAGAATACTTACTTGGAATTCCTTGATTGACAATGCAGCCGACGATCCTATTCAATTCCCGCCGATTCGAATCAACCTCTATTGTAATCCTTTTGATTTGCGTTTTCATCATGGCCTCCTGGAAGACCTGCAACCAATCCTCGAAGTAGCAATATAGAATGATCTTCTCGCATCCGTTCAATTGGTTTTCGGTGAGCTTGCTGAGTTGCTCTTTTATTCCTTGATCCAATGAGCCGATTCCAATGTCCAGTGTTGCGTTCTTTTTCGCCGATCCACAAAAACTAGTGAGGAACTCCAGGCATTCTTGCTTCGTGCATAGAACTCGAATTGGTTCACGGATTTTAACTGATCTAGGAACATTACATCATTGTGGCGGTGGCCATAGAAACGGACGTCTAATTTATCGCATGAATTGATCCGTTTGACGAAAGGACGAAGAGTTTCATTCAGTTGAAAGGACGGGGAATCGACGAACTTCTTGATCCAAATCGAGCTCGGTTTTATGCCAAACAGAGTGACGTGCTTTCCGAAAACGATCGATTGATCCATTGTATAGATCGAATAGAGCCTCTTGTTCACCATCATCAATTCCAGCACGTCTTTCACATCGAGATGGCGTGTGATCTCCTCAACCAGCTCCAATGGTAAATCTTGAATGTTCGTTGGTTCTGGTTCACGCTTTCGCTTTTGTGCGCGCGTTGCAACCGGCATTCTCGTATCTGAAAATAGAAAACGTCATTGGAATTGATATTTGTATGATTTATTGAAGTCACGTTTGTCATCAAAACTACTTTTTTAGGTTAATATAGAGCAATAACCATTTTTCATTGCAAAAATCATATCAAACAACCCAATAAATTGTTTCTGATACTAAAAATGACTCCAATAAACCATAAAACCAATGAAAAATGTATAAAAAACGAATTAGAAGCGATCAAACGTAGATAAAGCTAAAGTTAATCCAAAAAAAATCCTTCACAGCTTAAACTTCCATTGAATCCAAGAAATGAGAAAGTGAATTGAAGAAAATATGAATAAAATTAAAATCTGAAAATTCAGAAATATTGAGTGCGTTCCAGAAATGATTTCCGCTTTGCTGAAAATCACATCTGCTTTTTGGTTTGGCGGGGAAAACTGGGGGAACAGATTTGAGTGAATTGAATCGAAACGTCAATTTGGTGAACAAACTTGATCAATCCCTTCTGTGCACTCCATAATTGCCTAATTATTAGCAAAACTGGTCGAATTGAATCAATCTTTGGGAAAATCGACGCGTAAGGTATATTTTTAGATTCAGACTGCAAAAGTGATGAATTAAACCGATGATAGAAGCAAAATTCGGCTTAAAATGGCGGTGTTTTTTCTTCACCAATGAATTTAGGCAATGAAAATTGAAAATTTTATTTTTAATTTCAGTTAAGGACTCAAAAATATGCGGCATTGACGCAATCAGACGAGAATTTTTTTTTATGCTTTAACGATTGCGATTGCGCTTTAACGTTTAACAGTTTGCGATTAGCGATTGACGATTAACGATTGCGAATCCAAAAGGTCCAAAAGATCCAAAAGTTGTCATCAAGTTCCACAACAAACTCGAGTTGCATTGGAGAGGATCGACCTGGATGAACGATGCCTCCATTGGTGTCTAACTTCAGAAGGTCCTCGGAGCTGTGTTTCTCGGAGAGCGGCTGCTGGTGTGGAATCCGTTTTCGGCTCACAAAAGTGGGACAACGAAGAAGAAACTCAAGGAGCTTCAGATCGATTCAATCCTTAATTCTTGTGCCCAGTGGATGCACTAAAACCATTCAAGCTCCCGATGTTGTTCGGAATCGTTTAAGGCCAAAATTTGGTCATTTTACGAGCATTGGAAGGCGAATGGACTAAAACCAGTGATTCGACATGGAAACCCGGCTCCTCCATCAATGGAAACATATGTCGATTGGGTTTTGACGGCTTGTACAGTCATTCTTTTAAAACTTGTGCAATTACGACGGCTTTGCTTGGATCGGAAGATGCCCTCCTGCGCTATTTGAAGGAAAATGGTCCAATTCAAGAAGAAGCAAAACAATTGGTCGTGACTTGTCTTGAACAAGGCGTCAATGAAGTGAGTGATCGTTTTGGAAACATTGTTTCGGATGTTTCGAATGTTTGAGTCTTTAATCTATTGGGTTGGTGAATTGAAAACTGCGGGCCTTTGAACTAAAATTTATTCAACATAAAACCATCAATTCATTCGAAATAATTTCCATTATTATTGACGACTTCTGCCCATTTTAAAGGCAATTTGCGGATTCCTTTTTCGTAGTAGGATTTTGGTTTGTGTGTGCGACAGGTGTGAGACTCAAAAATGGAGGACTGGAGATGTCCCAGTTTGAGCACTTTCTTCAAAGAAATCCATTTTGATGTCAATAGAAAAGTTGTAGAGAATCAAAAATTAGGCTTATAGCCAAATTTCCAAAAGATACACTTAGTAGTTTCGCTTAAAATGCAAGTTTTGTGAAAATTCGTAAATTTCGCATTTCCTTGAAAACCAGTTTTTGAATTGTTCTGAAAATTTGGATATAAGCTTGATTTTTGATTCTCTACAACTTTTCCATTGACACCAAAATGGGTTTCTTTGAAGAAAGTGCTCAAACTGTCACATATGACAATAGCCGGCAGTTTTCAATTCACCAACCCAATAAATTAATAATAATAATCAAAAAAGTAATTAAACAAATTGGGTCTAATTTCATTTTACTTTAAATCAATTTAAAGGGAATTCTCTCTTGAAATAATAAAGGTCTGACGACAGATGCCTTTCGGAGCGTCCACCGTACACTTTGCCTTTCAGACGTTTCCGCGCCAAACGTCGGAAACTACCGTAACCCGACGCAATAAAACGACCCCGCCACAAAGAATTTTTCAGTCTTTCGTCATATTTTGTTTTTCCATGTTTTTTTTTCTTTTTTTTTCCATTGACACTAAAATGGGTTTCTTTTAAAGAAAGTGCTCAAACTGTGACATATGACAATAGCTGGCAGTTTTCAACTCACCAACCCAATAGAGATTAGCCTTGATTTGAGGAGAAGTCAATGTCCAATTTGAGAATTCGAAGCCGGCCAGATTAGTTTGGTAAAGGCAGAGGGAAGCGGCTTATTTTTTAAACCAGTTTGAAACCAGTTTTTGAATCGTTCTGAAAATTTGGATATCAGCTTCATTTTTGATTCTCTACAACTTTTCCATTGACACCAAAATGGGTTTCTTTTAAATAAAGTGCTCAAACTGTCAAATATGACAATAGCCCGCAGTTTTCAATTCACCAACCCAACATAATTGTTATCTGCTTTTTTGTTGGTCGAAAAAATAGTGTTTACACCTCAAATCGTACTGCGATCTTAGCCGTCACCAAAGAACAGCACTGCGCAGTGCTAAAAGAGTAAATACCGGAGTCGATTATGGATCACAGGGATCGTGAATTTCCACAATCAATCAATTAATCAATTTTAGACGAATCAATCAATAAATCAATCGAATTTTAGACGAAATTTCGATTTTTCGAGTGTTCAAACAATTTTCTTTAACGTTTAACCTTTCCTTTTTTCTTTTTCAACTCTTTTTCAACTTTTTCAACATCGAAGAGCACTGAAATCACAAATTTTTTGCTTTACAGTATCCCTGCTTTTGGTACATAAGTACATACAGATTTTTGAGTTTTCAGGTACAAAAATTTCTGTCTTAAAAGCTACTACCTAGAGAAAAAAGGATGTAATTATCAAAAAAACAAAAAAAATCACTTACCAATTCGAAATTGCTATTTTGGACGCGAAAAGATCTTGTGATTCGGTTTTATTTTTTTAAATCCCCGAAAATTGATATTTATATGCGTGGGTAAATGAGGAAAATGAGGGTTTTGTGCGTTTTCGATACGAGAATTACCGTGCTCGGGCGAAACTCTGAAAATCTCCGATCAGAAACCGAAAAAAGCCGAAAAAAGCCGAAAAGAAAGGGGTAATCAAAGAATTTTTTTCTTGCAAAGAATGTAATTATCAAGAAAAAAAGCGGAAATTTTTCTTTTTAACAAAAATTTTTATTTCTACATCAAAGCAATCTTTAAAGAGCTCATTTTTCGGACTTTACGAAATTCCCAAAAAGCTTGAACCATGTTTTTCACAATAGTTTGGTCTGACTCTTATAAAAAGACACTATTTTATAAATTTGGAGAGCTTTTGTCGGCCATCATCTTGGCGATTATTTTGCAAGGTTGGTTGTGAATTTAGTGTCGAATTTGGGGCACTGGGTACTGTAACTAGAGCACTGTTTAGTGCCACGAGTGATTCAATCGATTTCGATTCAATCAATCAATCAAAAAAATCGAAATTCAGTGAGAAAATCGACAATTTCCAGTGCTTTCCCATTTCCTCGATGTCTGGAATAACGGTATTCCGTTGGATGAGACATTGCCGGACATAACCGAGGAGTTCTACCAAGGAGCAATTCGAATTCTCTTCAGTTCGATCAATGTGGTAAGCGTGGAAAGTGAAATTTCTCGTTTAGACGTTCCCATTTCTATTTTAGATTTTGCCGCCCATTTCTCGATAACCCGTCGTTGTCATAGAAACACGTCTTTAACCAGTAAAACAACGATCAACTCAGATTATTAACAGAGTCTTCAATGTCAGCGTTACTGTAAATTGAATAACAGAAACTATTTGAAGCGTAAGTTTGGTCATCAAGATCTGAAGCTAGTTCTTTAATAGTCTTTGGATTTATTGGTAGTTAATGAGTTTCCAACCGGAATGTTTATTCTGAATAAAGTTTAAATGATCAGTAGTGCCAGAAAACAAAAGTTTCTCAACTTGAGTTTCTAGTAGTTCAGCCGATTTTAGGTCAGTTGGTAAATATCAATAACCACAGAATGAGAGTTTCCTGTGTTGAAAGCCTAAGTCACTAGGGTTTAAAAGTCGTTTTTTACAAGATTTTCTTGATTTAAAAGTCTCAAGTCTTAATCAAACCATAATAATTGTTGATGTTCTAGTTTGAGAAAACCAATCAGTCATGTAAAGCTCAACACCAGTAGGGAAGCTTAGTAGAAACACCAAAGAGCTAAGAGGTGGAAGACAAAACATGTAATGATAGTGGAAGTTTAGGCTGTGGTCGCCTGAGAAAGCCTGCCCCAAACCTCTATCACTTAAAAGAACCCGTCCTCGCCCTTGACTGCCAGTGCTATAATCGCGCACACTTTTGATGGAGTATTTGAACTGATTCTGTTGACGTCGTAAATCTCTCCTTCAATGACATGCTTCAACAGCGCCGTGCCAGCAAAGAAAGTGGGGTAAAAGTGATCGAATGCCCGAGCCTGACGCTTCGCAATCATTTACGTGTTTGTTATAAAGCATCTGGAATCATTTAGTAAGAACAGCATCCAAACAACCATGATCTGATTGAAGCATATTTTACATCGAAACACAGATCTGACAAGGAGTGTCCAACCACCACAGAGAAATGTCTGAAAGAATTGGGTAATAATGTTGGAGTATATAGGTCTATATGCTGTATCAGGCTTTGAGGGTAATTTTTTCATTCTTAGAGTCTGCAGCTGCCAAAGATCATCTTTACAGTCCAGCCCTGGTCCCAGCCTCCCAGATTGAACTCATCCTGATTTAAACTATTGTCTCAATAAATCATCATCTTGACAGAGGTGTGTTATGGAGTTTGAGTTTACTTAAAGAACTTGAATAAGACCAAGTTTGTAGCTGCTTTTGCTGCCTGAGCCTGAGATAATTATATTTATGCAGCCTCGACACACTGTTCCTTGATCCTTGACTTACTGTTATACCACACACATCTCATAGAGAGACCATATCTGAACATATCCCTGTCCCATGAAACCTCAAGAGTCCGATAAAAAGATCAAGCTGATTATTTTCCATATTTCTTGCAGCTCGCCTTTGATTACATGGTCTATCGAAAAATGAAAATGGTTTGTTTCTAAGCATTGCTATTAGGTTCAAGAAAAAGTAATGTCGGTTTTTCTCACAAAACTGTTTATTGCTAAAAACATAAACAAACGCACATCAATCAATGAGCTATTCTCCGTTATTATTCATGATTTGTTCCCATCTTTGTCCCTGATCCAATCCTCAAAAGAATGGGGAGCTTTCGAGCCAAAATAAGTGTCGATTGCTTTTTTGATTCGTGCATGATTCTCGAACTTTTCTCCCATAAGAAAACTCTTTAACAACCGAAACAAAAAGTGATCTGATGGGCCCGGGTGGGCCCTATAACCAAGCTTGTCGATTTTTCGGGTCCAACCAAGCTCGTCGATTTTTCCCTCGCTCAGGTCCAACCAAGCTCCTCGAGTTTTTGGTGAGGTTTTGCATTATCATGCAAAAATAACACTTTTGATCTTTCAACGCCCAATTTCTTTAAAGCCTCGTTAACTCTCATTAAATATTTTGAATAAAGATCAGCGGTGACAGTTTCTTCCGGATTCAACAACTCATAATACACCAAACCTTTTCTATTCGACCAACAGCAAAGCATACGTTTCTTTCCATGAATATCGGGTTTTGAAGTTAACGAGCTTGGTTGGACCTGAGCGATGGAGTTGGTTGTGGCGGTTGACCTAGAGAAAGTCACTGATTTTTGCGCTTCACATTCTCATATTGAATCCATGTTTCATCAGATGTTAGAATTCTTCCCCAAAAATCATGAGATTTGTCTTTTTGAAGCAGAGTAGAGCTAAAGATAAGCTAAAGATAAGCTAACGAAAAGCTAACGATAAGCTAACGTGCTGTTGCCTTGAGTCAGTTCATGAGGAACCCATCTTCCGCATTGAATTCTTTTTCCTAATTGATGTAAGTGGTTGTCGATTGTATTTTGGTCCATCCCAAATCTGCCCGCTAACTCACGAATGGTAAGGGTTGGATTGGCATCAAGCATCAAGCATCAAGTTCAATGGCATCAAGCAAATCCTCATCTGAAATCTCTTGGGGTCGTCCAGACTGTTCCTCGTCTTCGAGACTTTCATTTCCGCCTTTGAACCGCTGAAACCATCTTTGGCATTGTCTTTCGTTAATGCTGTCTTCCCCAACAACTTCAATGATTGTCCGATGCTATTCAGCCGAAAAAAATCGCATAAGCAAAGAACTGGAAAATTGCTAACAACGGGAATTCAAAACCGACATTACTTTTTCCTTAACCTAATAATTGCAGAAAATCTTTTAGGTGAAGCACGCTGGAAAGAAAGTCTCACGAGCTGAGGCATTGCTTTTGATTCAGGTTGGGTAATTGAATAGATTTTTTTTGCATTTATTAGAAAGTTAAAGAGCTAGATTAGACTTTTACACTTCCGAGAATGCAAATTGGGTAGCTAAACCAGAATCCAAACCTATTTGAACAATGACTTGGTTGGCAAAACAATTCCTTGATGGGTAAATGGCTGGCTAAACAATTCTGTGATGGGTAAATGGCTGGCAGAACAATTCCTTGATGGGTGAATGGCTGGCTAAACAATTCCTTGATGGGTAAATGGCTGGCTAAACCATTCCGTGATGAGTAAATAGCTGGGTAAACAATTCCTTGATGGGTAAATGGCTGGCTAAACAATTCCGTGATCGGTAAATGGTTGGCTGAACAATTCCTTGATGGGTAAATGGCTGGCTAAACAATTCCGTGATCGGTAAATGGTTGGCTAAACAATTCCTTGATGGGTAAATGGCTGGCTAGACAATTCCGTGATGGGTAAATGACCAGCAAAACAATTCCATGATGGGTAAATGGCTGGCAAAAGAATTTCGTAAATGAATCACACTTTCGTCAATCCTCTAATTAGGAATTGTAGTTTTTGAAGTTTTTTCTATTATCTTGAATGCTAGAATGCAAAAATTCAAATAATTTTTTTGTTTAAACAGTGAAATTCGTTTTTGCAGATGGTGGCTAACTCAATTTGCGTGATTATCTCCTGGTATGTTCAAACGTTTCTCCAAGCCATCGTTTCGCTTTATTTCGGCCCTACCACTTATTGGTTTATAACGAATTTTGGTGCCACACTGCACATGATCATGTTCGAATTTGGCATTATGTAAGTGTTTTTGAGTATGAGCAAATGTCAAATGTTTCACATTTACTCGAAAAACAGAACATTGGTAATAAGATTTAACGGGTGGGTGGCCAGGTACAGAGCCGGGAATTCATTTTTCGGAACTCTGTCGAACTTTCTTTGGTCTTGCAAAGTTGGAAAGGGCAAAAACGTGTCAAAAACGTGTCAAAAACCTTTCCAAAAAACGCTTCAAACCCTAGATATTACCTTGATTTGAGTTTGCTTTGTTTATATATCATATCATATCATACAAACTGCATCCTATTGTTAGAATGTGATGTGAGATATCCTCGGTGTAGCTTGTAACAATTTCAGCTCGGCCTTAAGAACAGGGTTTAGCAAAAATAGTCAGGTCAAGCTATTGGCTTTGGCTTTTTTTTCTAAACCTTGATTAAGAACGACTTAAACAATCGCCTTGGTTAAGAACGACTTAAACAATCCAGCTGTGATATATCCAGCTTGTGTAGCCCAGAGCTTGTGTACCCGAGCTTACCTTCTTACCTTCAAAAATCCGACACAAACCACAATCCGACTTTTGTGTTATCTGAGGGGTAATTTCAATGGAAAAATAGACGTTTTACGGTTACAGAAAACGCGCTTTTTGACATTAGAATTCATATTAGTTCCATAAAATGCAAAAAAAATGAAATTCAATCTATAAGAACCTGAAATAAAAACAATTTGTCCCACTTCACATCAAAATGAAATTCAAAATGAAATTGAAAACCACACTTTCATTGACCATTCGCCCAATATCATATTTCCGCTTTGCGAAGAGTGATTTGTTGATCTCAACAGTACACCCGGGGCCCTCAATTGCATAAGTTTGAGTCTTTGAGACTTTCATTTCCATCTTTGAACCGCTGAAGCCATCTTTGGCATTGTCTTTCGCTAATGCTGTCTTCCCCAAAAACTTCAATGATTGTCCGATGCGATTCAGTTCACAGAGCTCCAAGCATACACTTGACGCAAGTGAAAGTTCCAATCAACGATGGTTTTTGAAGACATCTCCAATTCTTCCTCAGGAAATTTGTTTGTCGTTCGGTTCACAGAGCTCTAGGCAAACACTTTTCGTCCAACAGAATGGCACGTTGAATCCCGAATGGCACGTTTGCCCACAGATGAATGAACTTGAGAATTGTGACGAATTTGAGCCTTGAATCCTTGAACCAATTGTTCACCCGAATAGCAAGAATGGAGCCTGGAAGTCCCATGTAGACATATTGATTTATTGCATATTGCATCTCTACAATATTGATCTGATTCTCGAGATTGGAGATTCGATCATCTCTCTGACAATTCGACACTCGAATCAATCCATTGTTGACAAAGTAGACGATTGAATCCTTCTCTAAAAAAGCGCTCATTTCCGAGAATTCATTTTGAAGTGAAGTAGGACAAATTGTTTTCATCTCAAGCTTTTATAGATTGAATTTCATTTTTTAATATGAATTCTAATGTCAACAAGCGCGTTTTTTGTAATAAAACGTTTATTTTACCATTGACATTTCTCTCCTCCAGCTAAATTATTTCTCTGAGACGCAGGTAACACAAAAGTACCTAAATTGGATCGAAAACAACTAGTCTTATCGAAAGAAATTCATAAGGAAAGCTTATATTCATATGGAAAGCTTTGCCGGGGCTCAATCTTTGAGCATACGACAAAAGAATGCTTTTGAGAGGTTGAAAAAGGTGAGAAACAGAGTACTTGAGTACATTTGAGTACACTTGAGTACACTTGAGTACATTTGAGTACATTTGAGTACTCTGCCAGTATTTACTCATTCTAAAAGCTTCTTTTGATGATTAATAATTCATTTTAGTCTCATCGATGCAATCTTTCTGCAAGGGAAAAGAGAGAAAAGCAAGAAGAAAAAGGGATCACAAAGCGTTTCTGCTGTTTCCAATACTGTGTCCACAAAAATTTCCAATTTCTCGAAAACCTCGAAAATTTCAAGAAAATGAGACAATTATTCCACTTGTACATCCTAGAAAATAAAGATTTTGTTTGCCAAAACTACCTGAACACTACACTGCACTCCAAATGACATCTCGTCTTTATGCGTCAATGACAGTTGTTGATGTTAGCCGAAAGGGCATGAGAACTTGTGAAACAAATACAAACAAACAAAATTGGGGAAATGAGATGAGATGATCGATTTTTAAAGGATTACAAATCAAATTGTTTTATTTCTCTAATCGTTTCTTCATTTCCGCTTTGAAATGTCTCGATCTTCAGCTAGAATGCCTCGAGAAGAGCCGGTTGGTTGAAAAGTTGATATTAAATTGTTTTTCGGCATTTAACTTTTGTTTATCCACTGATTTCTGTTAAAATAAGCTATCGTAGAAAGCTATTGTTGATCTTAGAATGCTATTCTTGATCATAGAACGCTATTGTTGTTCATAGAAAGCTATTCTTGATCGTAGAAAGCTTTTCTTGATCATAGAATGCTTTTCTTGATCATAGAATGCTATCCTTGATCGTAGAATGCTATTCTTGATCGTAGAAAGCTAATCTTTAGAAATAAAAGCCCGTACAATGGCACAATCAAAAAGAAAATGCTAAAGTTGAACATTTTGTTGACAAAGGATGGTTAACAGACCCATCTCACCAAATGAAATCAGCTATTAGATGCAGAATTCTACGGTGATTCCGAATTCCTCATCCTTTTTTGATTCTGAATTGCGCGCAATTTGGAAAACAAGTTTTAGTCTTTCTAAAGGCTAACCAAGCATTACCGCAACACACAAAAGGCCTGGCTTTTAACCAAATTAACCATTAACCAAAGCAACCCATCTCGAAAATTTAACTTAAACATCTTTATTCAATATATAACAGTAACAAATTAACAATTAAATTCAAATTTGCCTCCATCGGCATTCAGAAAGGCCTGCAAACGTTTGGGAATGAGTCCACCATCTTGTTGATAAGTCTAATTTCTATTTTTGAAGTGGCACTGAGCCCACGGAATAACCTCCTTCTTTAGCAAGTCCAAATAATTGACCGCATTTACTTTCACACCTTGAAGAACAAAGATCAACCGGGTCGTTCCATTGGCGGTTATCTCGGCAATGGGCAATGAGCAATGGGCAATGAGCAATGGGTAATGGGCAATGAGCAATGGGCAATGGGCAATGAGCAATGGGCAATGGGCAATGGGCAATGGGCAATGGGCAATGAGCAATGAGCAATGGCAAAACCATCACCGATGCAGGATCAGAACTGCCCGATACGGTGACGTTTGGCTGAGATTTTGCCCAAACTCGATCATTTTGCTTGTTGAGAATTCCCTCGACGGTAAATATCTTTTCATCGGTGAACAGGATGTTGTGGTGATCGTGATCAGACAGGCAAACGTTTGGGAAACGATCGTGGCGAGCAAATAGGCATTATCCCATGCTTTGATGAGCGCTTTTCTACAAACTTTCGATAATTTATGTGATTTTGCACATGCCCTGGCTTCAAGAACACTCCAGGCTGAGTAGTCTTTTTAGTCTTTCTTTATCAGACGTTAAGGGCGCAATAGGTGAGTGGAGCTACTCCGTATCCCCACGGATACGGAGTAGCTCTCTCAAGGGTTTGAATCTCTCTTTTTTTCTTTGTTTTCTTTTTGTAAACACTTTTTATGGTGTCTCTCATAGCTTCAAGATGCCAAAATTCCCAAAAATTGTGCGCAATTCAGAAACATTTTGCAAATCAGCTTAAAATTCTGCGTCAAATAGTCGATGGCTCATTTCATTTAGTGAGCTGGGTGAGCTGTTTCCATGTAGTGAGCTGGGTGAGCTGTTTCCATTTAGTGAGCTGTTTCCAATCCTTTTTGAGTAAAGAGAGATCGAAATTCCTTTCTTGAGCTGAAATTTTTAGGATCTCACCGCACCTGAACAAGTTTTGGCATCGATTTTTCAAAGCTACGGTGACTACATCAATTCACTTCTTGAAGGAGCGGCTGTGGTTGGGAAATCGTTATGCGATTTCTTTGGTAAGTGAGCTAAATTGCTTTCTTATAAAGCTTATTTACGCAAATGCTACCGTAGTCCAATATCAAGAGTACGGCTAGCTAGTTCAACTATCTTTCTTTCTAAAGAGCTCCTAAAAGCTCCTAAAAGCTCCTAAAAAAGCAATCCTAAAAAACCAATCGTTTCTCGCAAGAAGAACCGAGTACTATAGCCATTGCAGCTTCTAAAAAGCGCTCTTACAACTAGTAAAAGCTATCGTAATCTTTTCAGCAATACGGTAGCTATTTTAGCATTATAGAAAGCATTGCTCTACGAAAAACTTCTCTAAAAATCTCGAACTACAGAGTGTTCAGTATTTCAGTCTCACTTTGTTCAGTACGGCGACTTCTTTTTGGTAGATTAGCTCCAGGTTCAACTCTAATATGTTGAGTGCTATATAAAATGTTGAAGCCCTTAATCTTGGCTACATTTTTCAAATTAAAAGTTTCCCGATTGAAGATAGACAACTCATTTTCTAAGCCATTGAACTATTGGTGGAAAAGTCCTTTCGGATTTTTTGGGAGAGTACCTTAAATTTGTCCAATTTTGACGTCCAATTTGTCCAATTTTATAGCTCATCCTAAAGCTGAATTCAAGACGGATCGATTGATAAAAACCGTTTTGAGATATCTCTTTTCTAAAAGTTTTTACAGCTATTTTAGTAAAGGGCGGCAGAGCAAAAAAAAAAATGGCTGTTTTCACGTTTCGTTAGTTTTCCGTGCAGAAATCTAGGCTAAAAACATGTGTTTCGTGATCAGCGTCCAAAATAACCCCTAGACACAAATTTTCAGAATCATAGCAAAAATTTTTGAAAAAATATTGTCACTGGTGGAAGTCGAACCAGCGACCCTCAGATCAATAGCCTTTCCGCCGCTTTTCGCGATTTTTCTTCGTTTTTTCGCTTTTTTTTTGTTTTACCCTAAAATTTACCATAATTTACCCTAAAATTTACCATAAAAAAGAGAAAACAAACAAAAACAAAAAAAACAGCCATTTTTTCGCTCTGCCGCCCTTTACTAAAATAGCTGTAAAAACTTTTAGAAAAGAGATATCTTAAAACGGTTTTTACCAATCGATCCGTCTTGAATTCAGCTTTAGGATGAGCTATAAAATGTCAAAATTGGACAAATTTAAGGTACTTTCCCAAAAAATCCGAAAGAACTTTTCCACCAACCCAATAGTTTGAGCCCTCTCTGTTCCCTCTCTGTTCCCATTCTTCCTAACAAAATTCTTCAATCACAAAGAGTTTCTTTCGGCTAAATTTGTGACATTTTGTCATTTCCAATCATTCCAAAATCATTTCCAACAAATTTATAGCAATTAAACAATGAGAACATCTGAAATGAACATCAAAAAATCCTCAATTTTCACTTCTTTCCTTTCACCACCAAAAGAACTTGACTTCAACTCGAATTTGAGTAAGTTTCGTTCATTCAAATTCGTTAAAACACACTTCTTACTGTTATTAAATGATGTTAAATAAGACTTTAACATAAAATTAATATCGAAAAACACTTTCCGAGAATTTATTATATTGAAAATTGCGAAAAATGTCAGCGTGCCGGAGAGGGATCAACTATTAGATTCAAGAGCTTGTAGAATATATTGTATTGATACTTTATTCAGGACATGAAATAAAGCGTAATCAGTCAGACAATACACAAATCTACACATAAATACATAGAGAAAGATGAGATATTTTACTCGGCGATGTGGAGGCGGGGAGAAAAGAAGATAGATAGAAGATAGGCTTCTTGCTTTAATAACCTCAGGCCATGAATGGGCCAACCCAGTGGAAGAGTGAACTCCGCTAGAGAAGGGATCTCTAGTCAGCTCTAGAGAAGACACCTCTAGTCTGGGCGCACGGGCTAGGGAAGAGAACCCTAGGGGGGCCGAACCCCACACCCTCAGTTTGGAAGTGAGAACTTAACCAATACACCATGAGGGCCCTCATGGTGTATTGGTTGTCTATCTCCAATCGAGAATGAGTTGTCTATCTCCAATCGAGAAACTTTTAATAGAAAAATGTAGCCAAGATTAAGGGCTTCAACATTTTAAATAATATTTAACACATTATGGTTGAGCTTGGCACTTGGGAGCTTACTTGGAAGCTAGGGAGCTCACTTGAAAGCTTGGGAGCTCACTTAGAAGCTTGGGAGCTCACTTAGAAGCTTGGGAGCTCACTTGGAAGCTAGGGAGCTCCCCTAGAAGCTAGGGAGCTCACTTAGAAGCTAGGGAGCTCACTTGAAAGCTTGGGAGCTCACTTGGAAGCTTGGGAGCTCACTTGGAAGCTTGGGAGCTCATCTACTCAAAGAAATCGTCGTAAATAATGACCACCCAGTAGTTTGGGGTTCTTAGGTAAGTTTTGTGTATAGCATGGCGCTAAAATAACTACCGTATTGCTCATGAGGGGATTACAATGTATACAATCCCTGATCCCTGATCTTCCAGGACTGCCCTGTGACTCGATCTGTTCGGCCTTCTCCACCGTCTTCTCCATCCTCTTCGCCATCCTCAACTTCCTCTTCCAGCTGATCTCCGGGTGTGTCTCTCTCCTCCTTTTCCCCTTCAAATTGCTCATCTCCTTCATTTCCTCCTTCCCAATCCTTTCGCTTATCCTCATTCTCCTCATTTTCAGCCTTGGCTACCTTGTTCGACGTCTCACTCGATCGGATCCCCTTCAATTTCTCCTCTATTCAGCGATTCCCTGGATTGGTGCCTTTATTTATTCAATATTGTCATTTTTCATCCCACAATTAGATTTATTCAAAAAAATCTTTTATTTCCTCTTTCATCCAATACAATTCTTTCTTGACCTCTTTGCGAAAGTTGATCAAAGAGCTGAACGAGTTCGAGATATTGTTGGTGTCATTGGGCCAAGAAATAACCGCCATGTCTCAAGATTGCTTTGTTATAAGTGCCAGAGACGGGAAAAGACTTGTCTACTCACACCTTGTAATCACTTTTGTATGTGTGAACCGTGTTACAATGAAATGGTCGATCCCAGGACTCCAATGAAGCCCCAATGCCCACAATGTCAAGCCCCAGTTAACTCGTTTATAAGAATTGATTTGTGATTTGGTTTTTAGCCAGTTTTCTCTCTTTTGCACTCCAGGATTCAAGATTTTTCAAGAATATTTGAGAATTTCGTGAACAATTCCCGTTTTTAGCAAATGATCTTATTTCAATGCGTTTTTTTCTTTGTTTTCTATGTGATTCCTTTTGCAAGTGGCTCAATGAAGCTTTCAAAAGACTTCAGAAGAACACAATAACAAAACAATCAAAGAAAACTAAGAGCATGACCTTCTTCCAATGAATTTCCGGTTTCACGGTCGGATTTGGCCGTTCTCCTCTCCATTGTTCTCCTCGTTCTCGTTCTCCATTGCCCTTTTCAATAGTATTATCGAAGTGGATCCAATTTTCATCTCCAGTAACAAGGGAGTCGAAAAAGCCATAATCTTTAGCGTGGCGAATGAGAATTCCGGCAATAGACCAGTGACCAGTGAAGCCTTGTTTGCACTGCTTAACTCGTAAGGAAGCCATTTCCCAAATCTGATCGTCTTTCCAATGGTGTGGAGATGCTCATCAATAGTAGAATTCGATTGATTGATTGATCAAATTCACGACACTGTCATCCATAATCGACTCCGGTATTTACCATATTTTCTCTAATAGTAGTGCACCAGCCGAGTTGGTGACTATTTTACGGTTTCCAAGCTTTTGCAAAAGCTCAGCACTCAAATCCCTCACTAGATCTCATCGTCAGCTACATTTTCCGACCCCAAATCGATAGGTTCTGATAAGCGCTTTTCGAGATTTCGAGCGATTTTGCCGAAGCTCAGGGTTCACTACTATTAGAGAAAATACGGTACTCTAGTAGCACTGCGCAGTGTTGTTCTTTCGTGCGGCTAAGATCGCAGTCCGCTTAGAGGTGTAAACACTAGTTTTGCGACCAACAAAAAAGCAGATAACAATTATAGATTAAAGGCTGAAACATCCGAAACATCGAAAGAATGTTTCCAAAACGATCACTCACTTCATTGTTGTTCAAGTCGAGCTACGACCAATTGTTTTGCTTCTTCTGGAATTCACCATCTTCCTTGAAATAGTGAATGAGGGCATCTTCCGATCCATTCAAAACCGTCGTAATTGCACAAGTTTTGAAAGAATGACTGTCCAAGCTGTCTAAACCCAATCGAGATATGTTTACATTGATGGAGGAGCTGGGCTTCCATGTCGAGTTTTGTTTTAGTCCATTCGCCTTCCAATGCTCGTAAAATGACCAAATTTTGGCCTTAAACGATTTTGAACAACATCGGGAGCTTGAATGGGTTTAGTGCATCCACCGGGCACAAGAATTAAGAATTGAATCAATCTGAAACTCCTTGAAACTCCTTCTTCGTTGTCCCACTTTTGTGAGCCGAAAACGGATTCCACACCAGCAGCCGCTCTCCGAGAAACAGAGCTCCGAGGACCTTCTGAAGATAGACACCAATGGAGGCATCGCCCATCCAGGTCGATCCTCTCCAATGCAACTCGAGTTTGTTGTGCAACGCGATGACAACTTTTGAATCTTTTGGATCTTTTGGATCCGCAATCGTTAATCGTCAATCGTTAATCGCAAAATGTTAAACGTTAAAGCGCAATCGCAATCGTCAAAGCATCCAAAAAAAAAAATTCCCGTCTCATTGCATAAATACGGTATATTTTTGAGTGCTTAACTGGAATTGAGAATAAAATTTTCAATTTTCATTGCCTAAATTCATTTGTGAAGAAAAAACGCCACCATTTTAAGCCGAATTTTGCTTTTATCATCGATTTAATTCACCACTTTTGCAGTCAGAATCCAAAAATATGCCTTACTCGTCGATTTTCCCAAAGATCGTTTCAATTCGACCAGTTTTGCTAATAATTAGGCAATTATGGAGTGCACAGAAGGGATTGATCAAGTTTGTTCACAAAATTGACGTTTCGATTCAATTCACTCAAATCTGTTCCCCCATTTTTCCCCGCCAATCCAAAAAGCAGATTTGATTTTTAGCAAATCGGAAATCATTTCTGGAACGCACTCAATCTTTTTGAATCTTCAGATTTAATTACATTCATATTTTCTTCAATTCACTCTCTCATTTCTTGGATTCAATGAAAGTTTAAGATGTGAAGGGTTTTTTTTGGATTAACTTTAGCTTTATCTACGTTTGATCGTTTTTCATACATTTTTCATTGGTTTTATGGTTTATTGGAGTCATTTTTAGTATCAGAAACAATTTATTGGGTTGTTTGATTGATTTTTACAATGAAAAATGGTTATTGCTCTAAATTAACCTAAAAAAAGTAGTTTTGATGACAAAAGTGACTTCAATAAATCATACAAATGTCAATTCTGATGACGTTTTCTATTTTCAGATACGAGAATGCCTGTTGCAACGATCGCTGATTTGCCGTTGGAGCTGGTTGAGAAGATCGCACGTCATCTCGATGCGAAAGACGTGCTGAAATTGATGATGGTGAACAAGAGGTTCTATTCGATCTGTGCAATGGATCAAGCGATCGTTTTCGGAAAGCACATCGCTGTGGTTCTCCTGGGAGAGACCTTCAATTGGATCAAGAAATTCGTCGATTCTCCGTACGTTCAACTGAATGAAACTCTTCGTCGTTTCGTCAAACGGATCGATTCATGTGACAAGTTAGACGTCCGTTTCAATGGCAAGAAACGCAACGATGTAATGTTTTTAGATCAGTTAAAATTCGTAAAAGAATTCCGTTTCTTTGCTGTCACGAAGGAAGATTGCCTGAAGTTCTTCACCAATTTTTGTGGATCGGCAAAAAAGAACGCAAGATTGGACATTGGAATCGACTCATTGGATGAAGCAATAAAAGAACAACTCAGCAAATTCACCGAAAACCGATTGAACGGATGCGAGAAGATCAAGCTATATTGCTTCTTCGAGGATTGCTTCGAAATCTTCCAGGAGATCATGATGAAAACCCAAATCAAAAGGATTGCAATAGTGACTGATTACAATCCGGAGATATTGGATCCGATCGTCGACCGCATTGTCAATCAAGGAATTCCAACTAAGTATTCTGAAGCTGTGATTCACGTTTCAAAGTGGAGATCGAATGTGATTGATTCCCGGGTCAGTGATTTTCTTTCAAAGGTGCAAGGACTTCAAAGAGTCGATGAAGGCGAAAATCACTCAGCACTCGTTTCTCGTGCAAACGATCTCAGAGAAAACTACACTCCTTATTCGTTCGACAAAAACAATTTGTGTTTCCGCCGCCGAATCGACCCAACGACGATTTGCATCTACGTGTGTAAGGAGGAATTCAGATATAGTGAATTTTTGGCCTTCTACATGCCGTCAAAATGAAGGAATCGTTTGTTTCTGCTTTCTATTACGTCTACGTCGTCGTCGTCGTCTACGTCGTCTACGTCATCGTCGTTTACGTCTATTACGTCCTTAACGACCAAACGAAGCAATCGTTTGAAGCTCTCTCTGGTATCTTCTGGCTTCTCGCTTTTCGTAAAAGTCTTAATTATTTATAAACGAATTAGATCGTTTCAAATCAAAGTCATTTCAAATCTATTCTTCAAATCTATCTATTTAAATCTTTTTGAATGTTTGAATATGAATATAATTCTTAGAGATAGATTATATTAGGTTGTCCAATAAGTAATGCGTGTTACTTATTTCGAAACTATTGCGAAATCGCTTCGAGCAAATATATGTTCTTTTTAATCATCAGCATCTTGTGTTTATTTTTATATATTATTTTATTTGTTTGCCTTTGTTTTATAATAGATATGTTGCTTTGCAGATGAAAGACAAAAAGTTTGTTGTCCGCGCATCAATGCTGTATGATTTCAAACGAGGTAAAACTGCAGCGGATTGCCATCGAACTATCTGTGCCGCATTTGGAGAGGATTCAATTTCAATCAGCCAGTGCCAGCGCTGGTTTAAACGATTTCCGGACGGAAACGAGTCGTTAGAGGACGAGGAACGCGCTGGAAGGCCAGTCGTTGCTGACTTGTACTCTCAACAATTGGAAAGAGTGCAGCAAGCTCTTTGTCGTAAAGGAGAGGACACTTCGATGATTAAACTGCAGTTTGACAATGCTCGTCCTTTTGTTAGTTTTGTGATATTTTGAAAATCGTGTCAAAACACGCATTACTTATTGGACAACCTAATATTTATGCTTTATTCAAGATATGAAATAAAGCGTACAAATTTTGCTCTTTCTTGTGTTTAAAATAAGTTTACTGTGTATCATTTTGTCAATTAAACTTTTTGTCAATTAAACATTTTGTCAATGTGTCAATTAAACATATTCCTTTGTCACTTTTTCATTTTTATATCATAAAAGTATTCAAATATTAGCTATATTAGCTTTAAATCCTCAAATTTTGACTAGAAAATTGAAATTAGATAATTTATTTGATATTTTCGACGATCGACTATCAAATGCTTTGTTGAATTTATGGAATTTTGAAAATCAATCAAAAAGGCGAGGCTAAATAAGTGAATAAGCAGTAGCCGGGCTGTTTATTTCAATCTTATCACTTGAAATTCCAAGACTCAAACATATTCGCCAGTTATAGTCCTTCTTCACCTCTTAAACCAAAAGCCGAAGACTATGACGATGCTTTCTTCAGCCCTTGTTCCTTCAGCCCTCGTTCCTTCAGCCTTCGTTCCTTCAGCCTTCGTTCCATCAGCCCTCGTTCCTTCAGCCCTCGTTCCTTCAGCCTTCGTTCCTTCAGCCGTTGGAATGAATTCTACCCAGCTCACAAGCAAATGCCGGCCAGTTGAAGGCAAACCCACATTTCACGTGGCCAATCTGAAGGAAATCGTTCACCCAAGACTACGAGTGAATGTCAGTTGTATTTCACCTTTAACTTTCATCTCAATTTTGCTTTCTTCAGCCGTCCTTCCCATGGGACAAGACTACAAACTGCTAAAAACCGTTAAACTGTTAAATAGCATGTTCTCATATTATCGAAAACATCAATTTCT